CTCTTCAAGAAGATTCTGACAAAGACAAATATCAATCCACATACAGTCAGACCTCTTTAATCCAGCAACTCTCAGAGTCCGGCCATTAGTTCATTGAATAGTGCCACATGTTTACAACTTTTCACTTGTTCATTGCTGCATTTATCCAGGTTGCCACTCAAGAGTGCAGATGATGGTACTATTTGGCCTGACATGCTATACTATTTAGCTACAGAGAAAGCAAAGTCAAATTACTGTTTTTAAACAAATTTTCTGGACATTCAGGTCAGTAAGTGTAATTAATACGGTTTATAAGCAGAGTATTTAGTTAAGTAATTGCATCTAAAAAATAGTGTATAAACAGAAAATATATTAAAATAAGTGTCGGACTTAGTCCATTTCATAATATAGGTCATCATTTGTTTACATTAAGATATACTTTGATTAGATATGATCATTTGCGAAAGAACATGTGAAATTTGTTTAAAAACAGGAATTTGGACTTCCCTACCAGACGCGTCTTCTGTAGTAAAATGTCAGTTCAAACGATGGATCCATTCAGGAGTTGCAGGGTGGCAGAGGTCTAAGAAACAGACAATTTACTCCCAAATTATCAGTTGGTGGTTGCTCTCAGGAGTTTCAATACTGTCATGTCTGTCCATTCTTTGTTGTCTGACCAGCTGTTGTGTTGCCATCTGTGTCCCCTTAAACAGTACTTTGCATAGTGGCCTTACAGAGGTGGTTATGCCATGTGATGTGTCCAAACCCTGCCATCATCTAATGCCATTAGCCCACAAGACTTCTGACCTTGCCATGTATGAGATACGTGGTAGCAAATAGCTTGTTTAGTCCCAATTTTGTTTTCAAAATAAAAAAAAAAATAAAAAAATATCCAGTACAATCTCCAGGTTTTGTGCATATTTACCAATAACAATAAAAACGAAAAAAAAAAAAAAAAAAAAAAAAAAAAGAAAGAAAGAAAGGAGACAAAATTGTAATAAATAAGATTCCTTTTATTTTTTTTTTCATACAAAACAAAATAGATGACCTTAAGGCAAACATTTCCTGTTAAAGCGAGAAGTCAAAAATGCTCCTAGGACATAAATTATCAAACAAGAAACATGAGCAAACTCCCACTCTGAAATCATACAATGGAAGGACTTTTCAGCAAAATAAAGTTATCCATTACATGCCAATGTTTTGAAAATGATAAAAATATTTACCTATAATGTAAAAAGCATGTTTTTAGTTACTTTCATCTTTTTTTTTTTTTTTTAAATCTGTCTGATGACTGAAAGACTTTCATTTGAGTTTTAATAAAGAATTGTTTAATTTTACTTGTACTAATTCCTAAGTTCTAATCCTATTCTTCATTTCAAGTTGGAAAAGAATCAAAGATTTTATTACCAACCATTTCTCTAGCTTCAGTTTAAGTCACTGACAGACGTAGCAAAAGTTACAACTAATGAGGCCACTTCAGTTTTAGAACCTTTTCCTGAAATTTTAGCAATTTTTCTAAGTTCACATTTCATAAAGATCAACAAGAATAAAAAGCACAACAATATAAACATTTTTAAAATATATTTCTTAAATTCAACATTAGAAAATTAAATCATAAAAACTTTTTTAAATCCTCAGATAACTGAAAGTATTTACAAATGCCAACATAAAACCTAATTAAACATTAATAAATTCACCATTAAAATTAGCCTATAAATCAGCTTAAATGATCACTAATTAATAAATCAAATCATTAACTTGCTTTGGCAAAACAAAGGGATCATGGAAATTTTATATTGATTCAGTTTTAACACAAATTAAAAGTATCAATTACTTTTTGTCTTTATTTCTCAGAAATATCTTGGGACTAAAAGCATTTTTATAAAAAAAAAAAAAAAAAATTTTCATGGTGCAAAAAGCATTATATAAAAATTATGACTTTTTTTGGTTGTTTAAAGGAAAAGAAATTAGTCATAAAAAATAATAAATAAAAGCAAATGAAATCCAACCAATATTCAAAGAAACTGGTTTAAATAGGCAGGAATTAAACAAATATTCCTTACATACCTTATAAAAGGGGAGATCTTAATAATTGGGGCGGGGAGTAGGAATGTAGGATGAAGCCCCGAATGGACATTGCAGACCATCAAAATAAAGCCAGGTGCAGTAAAGTGTTGACCCAGAGTCAGCCCCAGTTGCCAAATGGAAAAGCATATAACCTTACCCCTGCATTCAGTTTTGTGAACATGAGAAAAACTTATAATACACACAGTTATACAAAGAGCAGCCCCTTAGATGAGTTGGGCAACTTCTTATAGGCAAATGTAGGATCACCATTTCAGACAAGGGCACAGTGGCCACACCCATGCACTGGCCAAGTGAATATATATGTAATATTAAAAAATAAAAATATAAATTGTATTCTCTATTAGTCTGCACATTATAATTTTGCCTGTACACCCACTTCAATTCTCTAGGCAATAAAACAGAAGGGCAAAGGTAAGAAAATCATTTAAAAAGCGCAAATTTGTAATCAGGGTAATCTTAATAAACTTGAGGGTTGGGGTCAGTAATTTTCCTTAAATAAGAGAAAAAAAAAAAAAACAAAAAAAAAAAAAAAACAACACAACACACACACACTTATTAGGCACTTAAAGAGTGGTTTCTAATTCAAGTTTCAGAAACAAAATAAAGTGAAAGAGGGTCAGGTATTAAATTAACCCTTAACACCAAAACACTTTTCACCTTTTTCTACATGATCACCATTCAACCATATGCCTGTTTAGGAAAAAAAAAATAAAATAAAATTATATAAGCAACCAGTAGTCTTATCAGTTCACCATTATGAGTAGATATCCATGTTTTAGTTCAGTGTAAAGAAAGGTTAACCAACTGAGGGATCAAGTTTTATATGTCCCATCCCACAGTTCTCAGACAAACCTACCTCCCAATTTGAGTTAGGTCGTCCCTTTTTGATTGGGCTGAGAACTTTTCAGCATCCTCTCATATATAACTAACAATAATAAAACCAATAAATAATATTTTATGGCATATTACCTGTAAATAGGAAGGATTTTAATGCAGGACCCAACACAATATTACATACACAAAGGTGATATGTTCAAATACACAAAGCTTTTTTCTGACTCACATTCCCTACTGTGAGTTTTTTTGGGGGGGGGTCCTTATTTGCCCCTAGAGTTCATATGCTTTCAAATATTAACTGATTTATTAAAGGAAGAAACACTGAATAAGGCACTTATTTTGGAAGCACAAATTCAAGGCAGATAACTCTATAGAAACAATCAAAGTCAAAATAGAGAAAACGGGTCTTCAAGCTCAGGAATAAAAATGAAGACAATTAGGAGTCGGGCGTTAATATTTTACAATTGGGAAAAAAAAATCTCCATTTTAAAGAATTTTCATCTTATTTCACAATTATAACAAGGTAACTTGTTATTAGCAGATATTGTAATTTTTAAATTTCAAGGCGAGGATTTGGAATGGATTGGTGTGCGTTATTCTAGTCCCTATTAATTTTCCCCACGCAGGAACATTTATCAAGAGGCCAGGTGTGATCTCGAATTAAATGGTCAGAACATGTTTTTGATTTTGTTTCTAACAAATATATCAGCTGAATATGTTTCAGGTCTTGGAGCAATGGCTCTGAATGAAATGGTGTAAAAATCTAAACATACGATTTGGTTTTTAACCCCAACTTTAAACAATGGAAAGTAGTTATTTTGGCATGTGAACAGTTTGATATGTGGGTTGAGAAATTTCTGAATGAACCTTACAGAATTCCTAGATCAAGATTCCAAGTCACAAACTTCTAATCTGTTTGTGTTAATAGATACCAAATGTATCAGAGTGTAAATTATTTTATTCCCCTTCATTAAATAGTCTATATTTAACCAAAACTGGCATTATTATTACTTTGGTGAGAGCTTGACTATTTCCAGCCAGCCCAGTCATCAACAAGAAGTTTACCACAGCTTATTTCTTCATCAGTAAGAATCACAACACTGGACAAACAACGACTGATACTGGCACCAATCCCTAAACCAATTTGAATAGCAGTGCAAGGATTGAGATATCAGAACAAGCAGGGTCTGAACTGAGCTGCTGCATGTCAACAGAAAGCAAGACTAGACCAACAGGGCTTGGGCAATGTGTACTGGAAAAGAGGAGGGGGTATACAATCACCAATACAAGGGAATTGGTAGGAATGAGAATGGTCTTAATATGGAATAAGGTGGGGAGAGGGTCTTAATAAATAAATAATAAAAAAAACAACAACCGGAGATAAGTGTATGCTCATGAGGTACAAGAGAAATTTGTTTTCTACTGGGTAACAAACTTATGCCTATTGAATTACTATATTAATAGTTAAACCTCAGGTCAAATGTCTCTGTTGACAAACACACAAGCTGGTGATGTGTGGCAACAAGCCAGGAGTATTGGTGGGAGAGCATCTGCTATGGGTGTAGCTTTCGCTCTAAACACATCCCTGCTCAGATTTGCTGTGACTTCTTTAGAATTTAATTTTATGCTTTTTTTTTTTTTTTTTTTTATTAAAAACAGATAAAACAGATCTCATTTGACAAAATTTTACTGAGACATCAGCCGAGTGGTGATAAGAGAAAAAGAAAAGCCACCAGAAAGACAGTTACCTGATGTTTTTTTTATGGAAAACAATAATGTCTCTCCTTTTTGCCTTCCTCACCACCTTCCACTTCAGCTGGCAACTCTCCTCTGTACAGCTACTGTAAAATTAAATTAAGCTTTTGTCTATATTTTATATGTTTAGTATCATTAGATTAAAAGGATTTGTAAAAGTTGAAATAAGTAATCATCTGGAGTCCAAGAATGGATTAATCCATTTTACATGATTTGTGAACCAAGGTTAGACTGTATTTGGGAAAATATATTTGAGACTTACACATGAAAACCTTTTGATATCAGTAAAGATTTAATTTCATCTTTGCAAAAATTACTGAACTAGTTTGTATCGACATTTGTTATGCGCACAAAGTTTGATTCCCACTGGGTGCCCTATTAATGTTGTCTTGTATCAGACAAAGTTTACTAAATAATATGTCAAAAGGAAATAGGAGAGAGGGGGAAGGGAAATAGAGAGGGGGGAAAGGAAAGGGGGGAAAAAAAGGAGGGAAAGGAAAAGGAGAGGGTATATTTTTAAAAGGAGGGGAAAAGGAAAGGGGAAGGAAGGAAAAGAGGGGGAAGGAAAAGGAGAGAGAGAGAGAGGGGGGAAAGGAAGCCAGTCTTGTTATGTCAAATGACAGTAAAATAAAAAAAGTTTGAACGTGACAAGGTCACTGTGGTGAAAAGAGAAATGATAAAGTTTAATGACAACTAGTGTGGAGGGGTGATGAGACATTTCTTTGAGAAAGGAATATCTTTTGTTCTTAAATATTGGAAGGATTTTTTTGAGAAAGGAATATCTTTTGTTCTTAAATATTAGAAGGGAATTTATCAAAATTTAACAACCACTTGCAATCATTTTTCAGGCCAGTAAATTAAGAAAACAAATTTTAAATGTCCAATAGATTTTTTAAATCATTCCATAATGATTAAATAAGTTTACAAGGTAGGAATCCATGTTTCATCAGCTGGACGGAGTAGTAGTAGTTGTAGTAGGCTGGGTAGGCACTGAGATTGGAGCCTGGGGATTGGCCTGCATTGCTTGTCGTCGCACTTCTTCAGCTGTATGGGTCTTGAGATGTGCCAGGAGGCTACTGTTGACTGTGTAGCTTCTGCCACAAATTCGACATGTGAAAAGACGCTCCCCAGAATGCGTCACCAGGTGCATCTGGAGTTGTACGTTCATTGCGAAGTCCTTACCACAGATATCGCAATGAAATGACTTTACCATTGAGTGCATGATGACATGGCTCTGAAGGCTGTTGTTTCGTGAAAAGCCCTTACCACAGATCTCGCAGTTGTAAGGCCTGTCCCCGGTGTGTGTGCGCAGGTGACTCTGAAGGTTGCCTTTCTGGGCAAACTCCCACCCACAAATTGTAACGGAAATAACATTCCCAGTAGAATGCGCATGTGCTGATGTTTATAAATCCATTACGTGCAAAATTTTACCACACATACAACAACTGAAAGGGTCCTTTTGTGAGTCATCGTGTGACTCTGCAATGTGCTACTCTGTGCAAAGCTCCGCCCACAAATCTCACACTGGAATGGACGCTCACCAGTGTGAGTTAACATATGAAAAAAATAGAACACTCTTTTTGTGTTGAAAGTCCCGGGGACAAATTTCACAGTGATAAGGTTTTTCACCCGTATGTGTTTTCATGTGGATCTGTAGGCTGATACTGTGGGAGAAATCTAGGCAAAAGAAATCATACATGAAAAATGGTAAATTCTACTGTTGGCGGGAAAATGAAATTAATAGACTACTGTTCTGAGAAAAATTTAAATACAATTCTCACATCGGAAAGGCTTCTCCCCGGTGTGGATGCGGATGTGCCGACGGAGGTGACTGTTCTGTGCAAACTCCCGTCCACACACTTTGCATACAAAGGGCTTTTCCCCAGTGTGCATCCTCATGTGTGTCTGCAAGGTGCTGTTCTGAGCAAAACATTTATCACATTCAACACATTTGAACACCTTCGCTTTGACGGTGCCAACTTCGGGATTTGCAGACGTTGCTCGGTTATTGCTGGTGTTTGCTTTTAAGCGTTTCTTTGGATCGCTGATCTTGGCTTTACATTCTTCGACGTCATTAGGAAGTTTATTTTCACGATTTTCTTGGCTTTCCATGTTTGTTTCAACACAAGAAAACGTATAGTTGGAATTAAAAAGACGGCCTAAGTCAGGTTGGCATAGAAATAAAATTTAAGATCATCTTGAGGTTCCTTTTTTAATTTTAAAAAATCAAGTCCAACTTTTTCTGAAAAAAAAAAAAAAAAAAAAATAAAAGTAATTATATAGATTTTAGAAGTTTATATTTCTTAGGGCATGTAATTTTTTTTTTTTTTAATAGACTACTTCACCTAAAGGTTTGCATTATGTATTTCTCTACTGACTACATATGACCCACCCCCTCCACTGCCAAGTGTGCAACGACATTCTATGACACCCTCCTACATACCATGTACATTAGGGTTACAACTTTTTGGTAATTTTTTTCCTGCGTCATAAATCAATTAACTTTTGGTCAAAAGTAATGAAAAAGGCATTAATTTGTTTTAGTTCTTGGAAAAAGTGACCTCCACATCAAACTGAAAAAGTTGATTTTAGCAGATATGCAATAAGATATGCAATAAGAGTAAAAAAAAAAAATCCAAAAGTTTTATTTTTTCAATTTACTAATTATGTAATTGAATAGAACTTACATATTTTTTTTTATATATTAAACAATTTATAGCTATAGCACAACATAAAACTTACAAATAAGCAAAAACAGAAGGTTCCAGAAAGTCATATAGTACTACTATTTTAGAAATTTTATTTTAGAGGACACATAAAAAAAAAAAAAAAAAAAAAAAAAACACCCTAAATAAACCCTTCATTATTTTTTTAAGAAAATGTTCAATGAACTATGATAAAGGAAATCAATTATTTTACAAAATCTAGTCTACATGCAATGACAATTCATGAGCTAATATATTATCAGGTCATAAATCAATATTACTCATTTCAGATTCTGGCCAATGTGACATTCTTGAAGCTGCTTAAGGAATTAGTGAAATTGAAGAAAACTAAAACCGTTTGGTTGTATTGCAACAAAACTGGATGCTCCCCCATTATCAAAGATAATATTTTAAAATACAAGGAAGAGAAGACAGCTACCAACAATTAAACTTTCAAGAAATGCCATATATGAGTAAATATGATGAAAAAAAAAAAAAAAAAAAAAAATAAAAAATAAAATTATATATATATATATATATATATATATATATATATATATATATATATAAACACATGGATTACGAAGGTTTAAAGTGCAACTTAAAAATTTCATTGTTTTACCAACTCATCAGGCACAAATTATTAACTTCCAATTGATAATTCATGCCTGATGGGTTGGTAAAACAACAAAACTAAGTTGCACTCTGAACGTAAGTATATGTACATTTATATTATCAATGCATGTCAACATAACAGAATATCATCTTTGCGGATGAATATCTTTGTTTAAATGTCCATATAACCACTTTGAAGATGGCTCATATATGAGCCAAAAGCTTAGATCAAGGAACAGCATAATAAAAAATATCTAAATGTTGGACAATTTTTATCTATTTTCACCCAAAATTAAAGCAACTATATGAAATTTAAAACAGCTCATGATCAAACATAATAGACATTTATTGTCTGTCTGTTATATATCTTACTTATTATAAAACGCAGATTTTGTGTGTGTGTGTGTGTGTGTGTGTGTGTGTGTGTCTGTAATGTTTATATATTGGATCAAATTTCCTACATTTTTTAGCCGATTTCAACAAAACTTCACAGGACTACATAAAATTACCTTGTGGTGGTTCTAACGGCGCCGAAAATGGGAAAAACATAATTGTTTTTTACCAAAATCAATTTGAAAACATGATTAAGACACATCGTGAGAATGAAAGGGGGACAACTCACCCACGAAAATGTAAACAAAAGAGCATAGCATGATCAAAAAAAAAAAAAAAAAAAAAAAAAAAGCCAAACTTGCCAAAAACAAAATTTTATCGTCTAATGTTCATATTATTATTAAAGAGGAAAGATCAAAGTATTTTGGGGGTATTTTTTTTTTACATTTTTTTAATCGTTCCTAGCACATCTGAAATTTGTTAAAAATAGTTTTTTTTTTTTAAAAAAAAAAAAAAAAAAAAAAGACAATCATTTTCAATCATTTTTTTCGATTTGATAAAAAAAGAATAAAATCTGACTGATATTCTTTTAAAAATCAATTATCATTTGTTCAAAACTGATTTTAATAAAAACAGAAATTATACTGTTTATTTAAAATATTTTGAACCAAGCTTAACTTAGCTTCTGCAATCAAAAAAATGTAATTTGAAAATAAAACAAAGCAGGTCATAACCTTTCGCGTCGCTTGACGATTGACGAAAGGCACATTCATGATGTTTAGATAACTTACGGGAGGATAATTCTTTCTACGGACGGAAGGAAGTGAAATTATTTAAGTGAACAAATTATTTACCTTGTTACTTTTTTAAGGAAAACTTTCAAGCGCTCTAATTTTTATTTTTTATTTTTTTTTTTTTTTGTACTTAGTTTTCATTTTTACGTTTACGATGCTTTATGGAAAATATAAAGAAATTAAAAAATAAGACAGTTTATAGTGAGATTAAATTTCATAAGAAAAAGGTATCTAATTAATTTAGGTACCTTTCTTATGAAATTTTATCAGAAAAGTGTACATAAAATACTATAATTTTATGTACATTTATTACATTTTACTGTGTTATTTGTATTTCCATTCATTTTATTATTAATTTTGATATTTCATTTATGGAAAAATGTCATAACTGAGATTAATATAAAAATAAGATCATATAAATTAAAGTTTAGCAGTAGTTAAATTTCATAAGATGATACTGTTACTTGTAGGTACCCTTCTCAGTTGAAATTGAAAACTCAAATTAATTTCTCCATACGTGTTTTCGTAAAAGTAAAGGGCTTAACAGCGGAGAACAATGCTGAACTCAAATAATGCAACTAAATTGTATTCTGTTGGTCTTCCGTACTTGATAATTACTGTCCGACTATAAACACAAAAATTACATTTCTTAATTACCATGGCTAATCAATTGGTCCAAATTATACAATTTTCAAAGCGCTAGACAATGACAATCTCACACGGACATTTTGAAAGGTTGATGTTGCTTTTAACTAATGTTAAAATATTTTTTAAAATTCAATTTAAGATTTTTAAAAAATCTTTTTTAAAATTAAAGAAATAAGAAATAATTGTATTAAAATTCAATTTTCATTGAAAAAATTTTTTGCTTTCAGAAAATATTGTCCATATTCATAAAACAAATTAAAAAAACAAAAGCATTTGAAACTAAATAATATATTTGTTTTATTGAGTTTTGTATGTTACAATTCACAGCTGATTTTCAGGTACGTTGACAAAAAAAAAAAAAAAAAAAACAAAAAAAAAAAAAACAACTAAAAACTAAAACCGATGGTCTTTTCTAGAGTTTTTCATAAAAAGCCTATGTGTTTAAATTAAAAAAAATATTTCTTGCCATGACTTTTTTAAAAAAAATATTTTGCAATTTCGATCATCAAAATAGTTTCTGAAAGTTTCATTGGTTCTGACAATTTTTTTTAATTCAATTTTCCAAATTAAAGTATTAAATAAAAAATTTAAAAATTATCTATGTTATTTAGAAATCTTGTTGCGACAAAAAAGAAACAAGGTTATTTAAAAAATGATAATTATTCTAAAAGAACACAAAACTTTTAAAAAATTAATAAAAAAATAAAGTTAATATTTTTTGTATTAAAAACAACGAGTGGAAAAAATTTTCAAATCATAATTCTAATTATGAATCACCATCAAGCAAAATATGTTTTTTTTTTACTGTATTCAATAAGTAAAAAATCATAAATTGTAAAAGATTATAGAGAAAGGCTACCTTTACATTTTCAACCGATTTCAACAAAACTTCACTTTTTTTTTGGCAGGTAGTGTTTCTTATTGTCTTGCACATTTTTTCTTTATTTTTTACATTCAGAATGCTTTAAAATTCCATTTACAAGACAATTGTTTATAATAAAATTCTATTCACCAATCGATAGACTCATAACGATTGTAAACAATGTTTTTCTTTGAATTAGGGTTTGACCAAT